TACAAACCTCGATGCACGTGGCCGTTGGCTTGCCGTTCTTTCACCGCTTACCTTACAAGCCACTTCTCACGCCATAACTTTGAGAACTTTGGTTCAAACCACAGCTAGCGTAGATGCATCGGCGGCATGACGACCCCCTTCGTCATGGCTCATCACGGCCCAGGGATCAGGTCGCCGTTGATTTCTCGTCTCACAAAAGTCAATTTCGATCATGGTGAAAGATCAGGTCCTCCTCACTCTGTATTCTGCACAATTTGTAAGCGAAACGTAATCCAGGAACGTCCAGGAACGGTGGAGATGTGTTTCAGGAACGCCAATTAGGTTCGCATGTGAAAAGGGCTGGAGATCGAGAAATCAAAATGACGATGAAGAGAAACTACGTCAGTGGCGGTTGGGCTGCCATCGCCGGGATTTGTACCACAAGCTAACTCCTTCTGGTTAGATATCCTCTGCGTTCCGCTGCTCTTTTGGGGACGGATACCTAGCAACACGAAAACACCATGTAAATATCTAGACTCGTTCAGGCGCAACAGTCCAGAAGCACGCTACGCTAGTGTACCGTCTATAACACGTTTTTCATGTCAAGCCACGGCTGCCTTATACTTGCCGAGGCATGCATCATACCAGGACGGCAGTGAATGTACATGACGACGAGGTGCCTTCGTATCCCCACATCAGAGCCGCACATGTTTAACCCCGCAACGCCGCGCTGGACTTTTGTGGAGGGTGTGGTCAATCCTCTCACCGACTTATCGCTGAATACTCCCATCGATTCACCACACTCAGTCCTCCGTGGCTTGGTCAAGTTAGGCGATGTGCAATCTACAATGCTGGTAGTAGAGCGGCTGGGCGTTGTCATTGCTGACGACGAAGGTCAGTCCAGTCCGACAATGAAACTCAAGTCCCTCTGAGCGTGACCGTGGAGTCTCAATCTACTCCCGGGTATATGGTACATGTCAAAAACAAGATACACAAAGCCTGCTCCTTAATGCTCACTCCTGGTGTAGTCAAATTAACATTTACGGCAACTTTTTTTCGTCTAAGTGCTTTGGGAAATACATGCATGCAACCACGGACACTGCCCATAAAGGGCAGGTATTGAAGCCAATCACCAGTCCCTCAGGGATGTGCAAGACTGCATGATCGAGGAATTCAAGCAAAATGCTAAGCCAGACGTTGGGTTGAGCTGACATGGCACCTTGTTCACCAGGATGAATTCAAGGTAGACTGCCCGATATCAGGTACTACTATGCTTACCGTCGTCATAAGAAAGCCCAGCCGCTGTTCGGTATGATGAACCCACGAATTTCGATCGCAGTATTACGTGAGGTCACATGTATCGTGACTCCACGATCGAGATCGCCAGGACTGATCAGCCGCCTCGGGCCTTTATATTCGGACCGTATGGACCCGCCCTGCACGAACGAGACATGGATGTTTGCGGCAACTACGCGTGAAATCAAGCTTCTCGTTTTTTTCCGGTCGGGAATAGTTTCCATTTGGTTATGAGGCCGACAGCAAGGCTTGCGTTCTCTTTGCAACGATTGCGTTGGATCCTTTACAGCCTCAAGACCAAGACCTAAGGCGACGCGCGTCGTAATCGCGGCAAGCTTGCTTGTTGCTCAGGCAGGGCTGCTCGATGTCGGTTGTGTCTCCACATGGAAGCTCATGGAGGGCATGCTGCAGATATGCGTACTGTGAACGATTATGAGGCATCGAGAGGAGACGCGGCAGCCGCGTGTGTGTGATGGCTGTGGCAAAGCACTTCAGTCAGCATTCGTCTGAATGAGGCTGACATGGATAGTAACGACCCAAAACAAGATAAGTGTCAATTCGAGCGCGAGGCACGGCGAACAGATGGCAACAAAGCACCTTGAGTGAGTGCGCAATATACCTCACCTAACCACAAATATGACTAACACACCTCTTCGATACTTACGCCAGGTATACCGCTGTGCTGTCAAAAAGAGAGGACAAATGATCAATGGGTACTCGAAGGTCGCCGTGTCCGTCGCTTGTTCAAGATCTCAGCTCCGTTGTCAGCGGACGCAGTTTCATCATGATACTGCTTATACAAGTTACGTAAACTCGGGAGCTTTTACTAGCTGGTTGAATTTCTATAGCAACATATCAATAAACAGATACCTTAGCTATCCTTTGTTGTTCACAGACACAACCAAAATATGGGTCGCAGAAGCCGCTGCAACCGGAAACGCAAGCAGGAAAACCTAGGTGACCCTTCCGCAAACTACGATAAGAATTATCTACACGACTATGATGGGGATTTGATGGACTTGAAAACCGTGGACTTTTTGGAGGCTATGCAGGTTATGGTGGGTATGACAGGTATGCACATTACTGAGATCTTGTTTTGAATAGTCTAGCCACAGATTAGGGTTGCGAAATGCACTCTTTGCCTTCCATTGATCAAGTTTGCAATTCAGTGTCTTGGTACTCATGTCTCGATCTGATAAGATGAAGCTACTAACCTCCAGGTCACCTAGTGTTCACCAACATCCGCCATTACTTACAAGTAGTCAGCTATTGTTTCTTGTAGACGATGACTTTGACTGAGCATACATTAAAGGGGAACTGTGATGAGGGCCAAAATTTGGCAACAGGGGTCCATGAGCATATGAACTATCGATCAAATCAAGGCACCAAATTGGACATAAGTCAAAGTTGACACAACGCATAGTACGATGTTCTCAGTAGCATTGCCGCACATCCTAAAGTCACTAATTTGTGGCATCATCATATAAACGCTGATAGCATGCATACTCTCTAACTGTTTCTCTTTCCATCAAATCGCAGTTCTACTGCAGGAGTCTGAACATTTTCTCTGATCATCGACTATCGTTACATACCACTGTCCAAAAGCCACCAATAATAACAATGGAAACTAAACCGACTCCGCAGGATATCATGAGCGACACTTACCAAGTCGGCCATCGCGACCCTTCCATAAAGGTCCATGGGCACACCACTGGGAAGACGAGAAAGATGATAACTTTATAGCGCAGTACTGGCTTCTAAAACAACCTGCTCCAGCTGGCAAGTTCCTCCTCGCCCCTATGCCGGAATGCGACGAAGCCCGTACATGCGGTCGTCAGTCCACCTTCCGTAGTGCTTTTGGTTTAAAGGAAGGGTACGAAATGGGATTTTCCCAAGGATTTGAAGACGGTCATGGCCTGGCAGAGATACGAGGTCAAACATGGGAAACAGGGTCTGGGTATGGCCTGTTTTTCGGCGGCCATGAAGATCACTTCGATGACTGAGATTAGTATGACAGATACGACGCCAACTTTCATGAAAGATGTGGCGCATTCAATGGTCACGATGGAGAGTATAACGAATACTATGGTAGAGGCTATGATGTAGAACATGACCAAGGCTATGGCGATTACTATCATAGAGGTCATGGATATTGATAGGCATGCTGATGAGAGTCATGATGATTACTTGTGAGGGAAACTTCTTGCGTACACTCTGGACTATAATTAACATCCGGTTTAAGATTCAGCAGACTCCAGCAGTGAATTCTCTATGCTTAATATTGCGTCTGATGCATGGAAATTATTCTGCCCAAGTACTTCCCATTCCAGAATAATACGTATCGCCCTCATGATTGGCCTGAATGTAGTAATGAAGCGACGAAGTGATCAGTCTATGGGTCAGAATGTCATCCGGATCGCCGATTGTTGACCTTTATTACGCATATCTCCGAATCGATGTACTGGTCAGTGGCTTTACAAGGGTGCGTGTTGTTGAGCTTGTCCGCGCTGTTGAATAAGCTCTTTAGAGGTCTCAACACAGGCAATAGCCGTGTTATCGCTTAGACCAATGCACCAACTCCGGAGATAATGGTGTGCGTTCACTACCGTGGCAACGTCCATCTCTGACGATCATGCGTTTTTTTATTCTCATGCTCGATTGCCGCTTCATAGATCACCTGCATCAGTCCGCGGTGGCAACTCCCGGATCCGTGTACAGAGAGTATGCTGTGCGACCCCACAAAACGCAGTATCCGAAGCCGTGTATCAACAAGCACGGCGTGAATGTGGCAGCCATAACATACCAGGAGATGCAAATGAATCAGGAGACCTCCTCCAGCCTCGTCATCATGTTAGCGCCCAGGTCATGTTCGAGAATAGATGCGAATCTGCTTTTTGTGGAAGTAAGAGCAACGGAGAACGCATAGCGCTGCTTAGCCCGCGCCACAGCATATAAAACCAGGTTGTTGAGGGCATGGGATAGCACGAGAGAGCGACTGACATTATAATCATAAGCCTTGTAAGAGTTAACCAAAGATAAGAGCACATATGCACAGGCAGTGCCAACGTCTCGCGCGCTGGAAGTAATCCGGTTACCCCAAGGAAAGCATGTGAAGTAAGGGGGAAGCGGAACCAAAGAAAGCATTAGTGCGGTCGTTTTGGGACTAGACGCCGTCTGCACGCGAGAAGGGTCCACGGATCATCACAGCTTGCCGTTCACAACATCAACTTACCCACCGCGCTAATTGTACAGCCGTCTTATCTATTGAGTGACCGAGAAAGCCACATGCTGATCTTCTCGCATCTACGTATGTTGATGCCGAAGATACTCATGTGCTCACCACATTCTTGTGGCGTACTGGTTGAAGATCCCCCTTGCCTTCCTTTTTCTTGGCTTCTATCAGCCAAAGCATGCATCTTCGATGGGGCGAACTCTCCGTGAACTTCCTTTCCCGAGATGGTGAATCATGTTTCTATTTCGGAGTCACTACATACGGATAAATGCACCTGGGAGTAAGCCACAAACGTCCTTGCGTCTGTCCTTCGTTCTGCCAGAGACGCAGGATCTATCAGCTGGCCATGTCTCATCGAACGGACTGGTCCTGATATACTACGTCAATGAAAACGACTAGTGTGGTTGCATGAGACGTGCTATCGTTCTCCCCTTAAAGCTTTCGAGATGCCGCGGAGGACGTGTCGTCAAGTTGGTAGGTTTTTCATCTCAATATGTTTTCTCCCTTTGTCACTCGTTCATTTCTTTTCGTTAGCTGTTTGACACACAGCATACATGCCACTCCTTTAGCCAGCGTGACTTTGTCATCTCTCATTGCACTCCTTAGCGAGACGAGCGTGCCACCATACGACACAATACCACCGAACAACGAATCGGAAAGATGGGACAGTCCAGAATACACATGGATCTTCCAGTATCCTCTACCTGTACCCCCAGTGAAGAAGTCGAAATTGTAAGTTAGGCAGTATCTTGAATATAGCTTAGCATTAACATGGGGTAGTACATATACCAATGAGACTACCGGTGCCATTATCGACTACTACGAGGTTGAAGTCAAGTCGGCCACGAAACAAATATACCCTAATCTACCAGCTACCTCTTTATACACATATGATGGGTTGTCACCAGGACCAACTTTCATGATGCAAAAAGGGCGAGGTAAGCTTCAAGCTGGTTTGGTTGATAGGGTCGATGCTGACAACGTTCTTCAGAGGCTGTGGTTCGCTTCACCAACAACAGTCCCACAAACTCATCTGTTCACGTCCATGGACAGTATAACCGCGCCCCTTTCGATGGCTGGGCTGCCGATTACGCTCATCCTGGCCAGTACAAGGATTATTATTATCCAAATGCACAGAATGCGCGATCCATCTGGTATCACGACCACACTGAGCGTCAAACTGGCGAGAATGTCTACATGGGTCTATACGGCTTCTATCTTTTAACGGACGAAGACGAACAAGCCCTCGACTTACCAACTGGCGATTACGATATCCCATTGGCCTTGAGTGCGAAACAATACGCCGCCGATGGCTCCCTTCTCTTCGATACACATAATAACACTGGACTTTGGGGCGATGTGATCCATGTGAACGGTCAGCCTTGGCCGTACATGAACGTTGAGCCGTGTAAATATCGCTTCCGCGTCCTTGATGGTTCCGTCAGTCGTTCCTACAATCTATACTTACAAGACGATGAAACTGAAGAGTCTTTGAGTTTCGACATGATCGGCTCGGATGGTGGTATGTGTGTTTGACCGCCTTTTGGGGTTTCTTTAACATATTGTCAGGACTGTTCTCTCATCCAGTAAACACGAGGAGCTTCGCGATCGCTGAAGGCGAACGCTACGAGATGGTCGTCGACTTCGCCAACTACAAGGGCAAGAACATTACAATGCTCAACGAACGTGGGATGGCGGGCAATCTTGATTATGCTGCAACCGATCGTGTCATGCGATTCGTAGTCAGTGACACTGCAGCCGATAGCACCAACAACGACCCCGTGCCGTCTGACCTTCGCTACATTCCTCCACCACCACAAACCAACGTCACTAAGAATTTCACTTTCTCTCGAATTGATGGCGAGTGGCTCGTCAACGGAGTTGGTTGGGAGGATATCGAGAACCGAATCTTGACAAGACCTGTTTTAGGCAAGGACGAGATTTGGGAATTGAGACACGGAGGTGGAAATGCCTCGCATCCTGTTCATATCCACCTCGTTGATTTCCAGGTGCTTTCTCGCACTGGCGGCCGTAACAATGTGATGCCATACGAGGCAGCGGGTGAAAAGGATGTCGTTTGGATGGCCCCTGGTGAATCTGTCCGTGTTGTGGCTAGGTACGCACCATGGGAGGGTGTCTACATGTTCCATTGTCACAACCTTATCCATGAAGACTATGAGTAAGTCTTTTCACGATTGTCATCTCATTGCTTTAGATACTAACAAAAAGTAGCATGATGGTTGCGTTCAACGTCACGAACCTCGAAAAATGGGGCTACGATAATACTACGGTTTTCATAGATCCTATGGAGCCAGAATTCCGACCGAAGAACATTGACACCGCGGATTACACGGAAGAGGCTATACGCAGCAAGCTAGACTGGTTCTACAGCCTCAATGCCTACAACGAGCGCTCTGAGCAAGAATTTGAAGAGGACCGTGCCTAATAAAGATATGATGGTTCTCTTATCATCATTCATTTTTCATCATATATCAATATTACTTGCTCTGCATAATTTACTGATACACTCTGGACCTGAAAGTGTTGAGGTCAGTCTTCAAGCTAATGCATGTCATCAAGACATAGGTGGGTAGGTAGTGTATGCCATACCACCAACGAAATACGAAGCAAGTGATCAACCACGCGAGATAACTACCATGGTTCATACGAACATCCGCAAAGATCTTTGTCTCAACCGAGAGAGTACACAAAATGTGTTCATCTCGTTACGACCGTCAATCTCGTACTGAATTCTCCCACGCCATACGGACTTCGTACCCCATCACACGTACGTCGAAAGCCAAACGAAGCATCGGCGTTAAGCATTAGCGACCGCTCATCTGCATATCTCAACTGCAGGGATCAGTATGCCTATTGCAGCAGGTCGAACAGCCTGCGGCCTGGCTTCATTACGGTTCCGCCGAGACAACGCCTCTTCCAGCGGGGAAGCGGAAATCTGCTCACCTGCTAGAAGGAGAATGCGAAAGAGACAGGATATTCAGTATCAGACATCGCTGTCCACCAGGGTCCTAGTCTCATGTAAATCAGCCATTCCCAAACTTGCATGCTCCAATGGACGAGCAAGGCCGTCCCCGTCACCAACACCTAGCATAGCCCGCCAGGCCACCCCAGATAATCAGCCGTTGGAATACGACTCGCGGGGTCCGGGGCCGCCTGTGTTGTGCCATGACTCATGCAACGAGTGCAGACTTGTCAGTGTCGTGTCTTCGGGCAAATCTTGAGAGTTTAGAAACAGACGTGTCGATGGTTTCAGGATTGTTTCCGACATCTTCCATTCCGTCCAAATGATAAGATTGCGCGGACGGGTGGGTTGTTTGGTCAACCGCGTGCCTTAGGGTCCACATAGAGACCCATATTGCAACGTCGCCTGGTGATTGATTCGAACCATGTGCAGGCTACTATGCGGTGCCGCGGGTAGATGTGTTATCCGTGCCGAGAAAGATGGTGCACGAGTGCGATGTGCCGTAACGTCGTGTCAGTAGGTACGCTATAGTGGAGCCAGAGTAGGAAATCGTGATGAAAGGTGCGACAAGACCTTCGTAACTTCCTCTTACAGATGCGGAAACCGTTCCGCCAGAATGGAAACACCTATCACGATCGATCCTCTTACAATACTCCTCTCAACCCACCCACCCACAATTAACCTCCCATGGCCGCGAAAGCCACAATCCTTAATCTCACAGCCCACATATTGCACCTCACACAACGTTGATCGCGATCCCATCGGCAATGGTATTCTCGGCCATTCTCGTAGCTTAGGTGTGGGCTGACATGATGGATGGTGTGGTTGGCCGTCGTAATCGTAAGTGCTGTTGGCCGCACTAAACCGGCGACTTATGAGCTTCTCGGCCCGACTAAGGCGGTTCGCAACACAAGCTTCGCGGTGTTGTGTGCCGCGTACAAAGTAGTGTCGCCTGGGAAATGCCGGGTAACGCGGCGTGAGTACTTTCGTCATCTCAAGTGTGAATGATCAGGATCGGAAGTTGCCGCACGCGCTGGTACGGGTATGATGTGTCGACGTGAGGCATTTCGAGGCGAGGAGACGGCCTGAATATGGCCGGATCGATTTGGTCAATGATGCAGACGTCAGTAGTTAGCCAGAGTAGTGGTAGTGGTAGTTCACGTTTCAATGTGTTGGTCTTCATTAATCTGAGAAAGAACAATGGAAAATTGTAAATGATGTGACAAGGCTAGTATGCCTGCCTGGTATCATGTGTTGTGTTTGTATCTACCATTTCGTGATCTAGCTAAGTGTCTATGATCTATGGCCATTATTGCCAGCGATATAATGAAATCAAATGAGGTAATACCCATGCGCCATGCTATGCAGAAAACCAACAGAAGGGAAAGAAGGAAAAGAAGATCCTTCTTACTGCTCAAGCACACCAGTGTTCATCATGCTCTCCCTTAGAGCCTTTTTGTACTCGCGCTCCATACCATGCTTTACAGCTTCGAGGACATTTTGCACAATAGCCTTGGGCTCAAAGCGAGGAGTAGTACCGCGTTGGTAGACGCCTGTCTCTACCAGTATGGAGTACCAGTTTGCTGAGTCGGTGTGCGCGTTATACTCGTTGGTGCCCCTGATGTCCGACTCGGGTGTGTCACCTACAAAGTAGACGGTTGAAGGAGCGGAGTTGATGCCATGAGTGTCCCTTCGCCACTCCTTGAGAAGACGAGTGGCAAACTCGAAAGTGCCGATTTGAGGTTTGCCGAATGCGGTAGTCTTAAGCTCTCGGCCAGTGACTGCCTTGAACATAGCCTCAAGTGAAACACGGAGGGCACCCATACCAATGCGGGTAAGGTCGTGCGAAGCACTCCAAACAACATCGTTGTGCGAGAAAAAGACCGGTGGACCCTCGTCGAAGTTGGCGGATCGGGTTCCAAGACGACCTTTCTTTGACATCAACAGATCCAAGATGATCTGCTGATCAGACGCCCAATCGCGAGAATCGGCGAAGACGAAGATCGCCTCGATCTCGACTTCAGCGAAGTTTCGCGCTCGTGAGTTCTTGTACTCTTCCTCTGTGAGTTTGCGGAAGGGTGTAGTGTCCTGATTGTCTTTGATGATATCTCCTGGGGTAACGACATCCTTGAAGCCATAGCCCTCAGCCACGATACGGCACTTCTCGCCCTCGCCTCCGACAACGAGGACAGTGTTGTACTTCTCTGCCATCTCCCTCATGGGAGTGTGTCCGCAGATGAATTGACCAGGTGATACTTCGATTTCCATTTGCTTGCTGAGCTGTACGCAGCGCTCGGCTTCAGTCTTTCCACCACCGTTGGTGACAAAGATGTATGGCACTACGATACCGTATTCATTCTCACCATTGAGCATTTTCATGGCTTCAACAGCTTCTGGAATAGGTCGACCACCTCGGATGAGGACACCGTCAATATCTGAGCTATATTAGAGTAAATTCACTTTGAACTAATGGAGTTCGACTTACCAAAAGCGAAAGCATACTTGTCCGTGACTGAAGTTTCGGGAGGAGTATAACCAGGCGACCCAGGAGTCGCGGCGGAGTCAAGGTGATGTCTGGCAGTCTCGAAAGCGCTGGCAATCTCCGATGCTTTTGACGGAGCCATGAGATGTTGTGGGGGTACGACGACCGTTGGACCCATTGTGATGTTCTCGCGGGTGGCTTCACTGGAAGATAGGCGTCGAGGGTTTCCCGTCGAGGGAGGGACTGCAAGAGAAGGCGCCGACATTGTTAAGGATGATATGAAGACTGATCTTCCAACGGAGAGTCTTGCAACTTGTGTTGTTTGCTGCGAATGAAGGAGTTTGGAGTCTGGTTTGATGAAATCTCAGAACGCTGGAATTCTGGTAGCCTTTATAGTATACGAGCCCGGTAGATAGGTCGAGACTTCAGGTAACCCCTCAAAAGAAGCGGAGAGAACTGTGGGTATGTGGGTATGTGGATATGTGGAGGTGGATATAATGATAGATGGTTGGTTTGTACGAAGAATACCGAGACATTTATACCGAAGACATACAGTAGTCCTTACTTCGCCCCCCCTACATTACTCAAACACGTACTGCAAGTATAGCGGCAAGGTACAATGCACTTCTACGTCGATGTGCCGGACCTTGAGCGATAAGGGTATGGCTCGGGATTCTGTTGGATGGCATTGCGTAGATCGATGGCGTCACTCGGTCAGATCCAGAACAAGGGACACATTTGCGACACCAAACGCGATACTAATCGATAGCGGTAGAGAGTGCCCAGGCGTGCGCTTCCGCCATGGAGTGAGAGATTGTGGCATGTTTCTCGATTCCCATTCGACACGTAGTCCGGTAATGTTGCAATAAGAGTGGGTATGACAGTCACGGTACAGGGTCTCCTGCATCTCTGGCGGTCTCGGATTATTGCTGTCCCATGCGCGCCATGTGGTAGACGGCCGCGGCTGGTGTTGCTGTGGAACGGTGTTGCAGAGTTTTGAGGCCATCTGCGCTAGTGATGTCATTTATGATTAGCTCGCATATCGCTTCGGCGCCTTAGGATAGCTATTCGAATCGGCTGGAGGCGCCCGCAAATGAACAGCCTCAGGGACTCAGGGCAGGTCTTGGTGATGAGTCCCTGTTGAAGCTTACCACCACCTCCGATCGACAGCTCCTCGTTTCCGGCGAGAACAAGCCGGCCGACAGTTCTCGCCAAGTATCGGAAGCTAGATGAGGCAACTTGAGCCTCAAACGTAGGCTATTTCGGCAGACATGCCAATCCGTCTTAGCCTCTTAGCATTTGTCTACCGTTACCACATGTAAGACAGATTGTGGCCAGTCGACTGAACATGCTCACCTCGACAGAAACGAAACACGTCTGCGATACTATAGGTGGGGTCCTTATCGCTGCCTTTCACATGTCGAATGTAACAACCGATGCACCATCGTTCCGATTGTAGGCGCGTGCATTGAGCGATATCTACGCAGCTTACATGGAGTGGGTCGCCAGTAGAACCAGTACCCACAACAAGAGTCTCAGGCCATGGCGCTTGACGTAACTGTACATGAAGGTACACCGCAACTGGCGGCGCAGCTGCAGTAAGGGCTACGGCAGCATGTATGCCATCATTTCGCATTATAGGGTCAGGCTGCAAGCGTGGACATGGGCTGGCAGGTGTTGCGCCATAAACAAACCTAATATCCATTTTCCAAAACCTTCGGGAAGGACGATCGAACGACTGCGAATGGCGGGTGGAAGTAAATTGAGGCATTTGAGCGAAAATGCGACACCGATGCCTGGTCAGTTAGGAAGAATGCACCCAATGACCAGTCAACTCGCGGACCCTGTGTACATGGGCGCTTTCAGATGCCGCAGGACCCGTTCAGGACCGGACTCCACGCTGCAAGAAGCAATGATCTGATGCAGCTGCCGAGAAGACAGCGCCATGTACGGAGCACACTTATTGCGACCGGTGTTTAGG